GGAGGCGCTCCCAAAGCGCGGCGGACTCATCAGCTTTCCAAAGGAAAGGTTTCCCAGTAGCGCTGGTTTCACAGTCCCTCTGTTGTTTTAAGTGCTTGTGTCTGCGCAGCGGCTGAAGACCCAGATTCGGTTTCTGAAGCCTCGACCTGATGTTCGGGTCGAGGAAGGCTCTGGGTTGAAGGACGCCTGCTGCATGTTTTTAAACCTCAAACTGGAAACATTCGGTTCAAATTGAAAGAAATTCTGAGATTGCGCCCAAAGTATTCCTCCTAACTGGACATGTCAGTTGGTCGGGTTGTTCTGCGAGCGCAGCGGCTCGGTAAAATAATGCAGATTGGATCGGCAGCTCTTAAAAGTCCACAGATTGATTTCGCTCCTCGCTGACGGGAATTGATTTTCAGAGCCGTGCGGTTTCTTTTCCTTTTTCTTTTTTATTTCTCCTGATTGCCCGCCTCATTATAAGCCACACAATCTGCCCTGGAAGGGGCTTCTGGGGGCAGAAAGTGTGGCGGTGATTAAAAGACAGGTACCACTTTCACAACGTTCCGTTCCCATGGCAGCGGCGGAGCGGCCTCTCGGTCCGTCTCTGCTTCCTACAGGAAACTGATGCTAATTACATTCTGACCTTATTGATGTTCAGAGAACTTTAACGTTTGTTTCACACAGGTTGGTGGGATTCAGAGAAATGGACAAAGTGGAGTTTGTTTAGAATCATTACCATTCATGATCATTTTTGTAGAACTGCACTGAAGCAAAAACTTTAACGGGTCATTTATGCTTCATAAATCTCAACCCAGTTGACTCTTGTTTACATTAATCACTGAAATAATTTCTTTTAAGAAATTTTAATTTAAGTGCAAAATGTGATGAAGAAGCAATATTTTCTCCTATTAATTGCATTTATCTTAAAAGGATCATGTTCTGTCTGCTCATTTTTATAACCTTAATGATCCTAAAACAAGTGGAAAAAAATCCAGATCATGAAGCTACTTTTCATCTCAACATTTTTTATTTAAAAATAGTTTGCTTGACCCAGGATTCTTGGTCTGTGTGGAAAAGCAGTGCATTTAATATTTTCTGTCTGGATGAGTAATGGGTTAAAAGTGATGGGAAATATGGATTTGCAGAAATCAAAAGCTTTTAAATGCATTTTTTGAAACTCTGTTGCAACTTTTCTATATTTATTTTATCAAAGAAAATCAATCTAATCTAATATGGTCATTATGTGTGCAGAGATCACATTAAGCTATTTTACTGCCTGAATAAAATAAAATGTCATACATATTTGTCAGAAATAATGACGAATCATGATTGCTGCTCAAATGAACCATTTTTGCTTCAGATCGTCTGAATTCTGGTATAAAGCTGCTATTTTTGTTTGTGGCTGAAAAATCTGGAAGAGAAAATGCAAGATAGATTCTGGCATTAAAAAAAAAAGTCGATTTCAAAATTTTTATTTTTTTTTTCCCACTTGTTTGAGGAAAAGTTTTTGACCTAAATGAGCAACAATAATTGAACAGCCTGTAGATCCGGCAGCAGGACTAACAGAAGAGGACGGTTAATTGGAAGCTGGATGTTGCAGATGGTTCATTCTGCAGATGAAGGTTTTCTCTGTTCCTCATTTTAACTGACAAACGGGCTGAAATCCGTCTAAAACAGGTTTCTTCTCCGGTAGAAATGCCACGCTGCTAACACACGCTCACTCACACACATTCACACACTCGTCATGTTTAGTGGAACGACTCGGTCAGCGGGATATCCGTAGGTGATTTAAAGGGAATGAGGTGCAGTCCAGGTCCGTGTCGGACGCTGAGGTGGAAACTGATGGAAATTGTGAGTAGAAAACACAAAGTGCACACACACTTCTATTTTTATTATATGTATATTGCCAGGGTTACTGTGCTGGGTTTGAGTGGCAGCATCAGATTAAAGAGCACTCTTTACCCTGAATGTATTTTTTATTATTTTACCTCAGATTTTCCTCATCTCAGCATTTATCATGTTGCAACGTTCCCCAGTTTGATCCTGTTGATTTCAGGGATTTTCTGTGGCATTCCTCTCATTGTTCTTCCTCAGACACTTAAGGGTCAAAACTTCAACATCATGTATATCTATACATATATATATATAGAGAGAGAGAGCGAGATATATATGTATATATACTTCTTCCAAACTGCATTATTTTGATGAGAAAATCCAACTTGACCGTATCACTGTAACGTCTTTCCATTGAGTCTCTGTGGACGGAGTGATGCAGGTTGCACTTTTTGGCTTTTTTTTTTCTTTTTTACATATTGTGTATTGAAGGATTTTTTTGGGATCATATGCAACAGAAACATAATGTTAGTAGGAAGATTATGATGATGTTAGAGGTTAGTGGAGGGAAAAACTATTGGTGCCTTTTTTTAAAGAAGTGTTTTACACAATTTTTATTTTCTTTTAAATTCAGAGAGCTCTTAAACGGTATAAATACTTATTTACATTTTGTGTACCATTTGTATTTTGCCGCTTAGTTTTATTAGACATGAATAATAAATTAAGGCTTTTATAAAAGTAGCTGTTGTCACTGGAATCATTTTATGTACCTGAAAACAAACCGGTTTCATAGTTTTTATAAATTCAGCTGCGGACTGAGTTGAAAAATCCTGCGCCACCGGTGCAGAGCTACTGCAGCGCAGGTGTGTTTGCGTGTGTGTTTGTGCAAATGTGTGTGTATTTGTATCACGCTGTGAACAAGAAGGGCAGAAATAGACGCTACTTCTGAAATTCAGAGTAAAGAAAAACATCCAGGACAGACTGAGCGTCTGCAGGGATGGAGCCTCCTGATTGGTCAGGACACCTGCAGAAGAAAAGGTGAGAACCATCTTTGAGTTCTGTGTTACAAACAGCGAAGCATGCTGATAAAACTCATGCCTCTCATCCAAGCAACCGGAAATGAGCCTGAGCAGTTCGTGTGTGTGACCACCAGAGGGCAGTGCAGAACAAGAAGCTCCACTCCAGGCCGAGCAGCGAAGAGTAAGGAGAGGGCGAAGATTATTCTGCAGGTAAATCGGGTTTAGGAGCAAAATATTTAGTATTAAAACCGGGTTTCTGCCTGACAAAAGCAGCACTGGAGTCGCTTTTAGTTTATTTTTATATTTTTAATTAGAATCATTCAGTGAGCTTTTTTATTTAAGCTCTTTATGTTGTTGCATTTTATCTGTTTATTTGAATGCACTTAACTTTAAATTCAGATTTTTTTGGTAATTATTTAACCTTTTTTCAAATATTGAACCCTAGAAGACGAATTAAAGGGCTGCAGAATAAAATAGTGGACGGTTTTTAAAAGCTTGTGGATTTCTTGATCAAGTTGTGCAGTTTTGTCCGCTGTGCTTTTGATTCATTAGCTTCCTTTCTTTTCCTACTGTGAGACTCACAAGGTGGTCTGCAAAGCACACAGAGTGGTTTATTATTAGCTGTGGACACAGGCCACAATGAATTGGCTCTGCCATTATCCTAAAAGAAATAATTATTATGAGGAATCAATATTCTGTGTGCGTACATTATGAGATGAGGTGAAGGACTGAAAAGGAAAGTTTCCTGCTGCAAAGCTCTAATAGGACTTCCATTTTAAAAATGGCCTCATTTCCAGCTCTTATTATCCTCCATATTCCACATCCAACCAGGATGGAGCCTCGAGTGCTTATTAAAAAAGCTTCATTCTGAAACCACAAAGGGAGCCCTTAAGGAGACCAGGGACAAACACTACACTCTGTTCTAATCCTATCTGGCCTGAATCTGCTTGTAAGACACTAGAAGAAACAATATGCCAGACACGAGTCCTCCAAGTGTTTTTTTTTTTGTTTTGTTTTCCACCAGATGCCCCCATCTCTCCGTCCTCCCCCTGGTACCCAGGGAGGAGGGGAGAAAGGGATGATAGCATTACTCACAATCCATTACCCCTCCCCAGAGACGCTCTGCATACAGAGTGATGGAGGCGAGAATTTTATTTTATTTTATTTTTTTTTTTGGAGGGTGTTTGTTTGCTGAGGGGGGTGACGGTAAGGCAATATGAAACATGATTATTCCTTTTCAATAACCGTCTGCTGAGCATCCCGTGGAGACGTCGCAGGTTGCTGATTAGTTCGTCAAAATAACCGAAGGCTCCTGAATAGCTTGTTAAGATGCCCAACTTTAAGTACAGACAAGAGCACAGATCATTATTCACTCTGAAGAGTATCTTAATGATGGATTGACCGATGCACAGGGACTCTGACGCTCTTTATTTATTTATTTTTTTTCAAACAACTTTATTTTTAAGGTCAGACAATATACAAAGTGGTGGAGGAACAATGAAGATACAGTCTGAGTCAGAAGTTTACGTACACCAACCAAGAGCATCGACGTTTGGGCTTTTAATTTTTTAAACTGTGGAAAGATAGTAGAACATGCACCTATCCTGATTTAAATCTTATTGTCTTCTTTTAGTTTTTGTGCAAGTATCGTAATTGAAATAAGACAAAGCTAATTCCCAAGTAACTTTTAGGCAAGAAATATGAGCTTCTTTTAAGCCAGTAATTTCTTAAAATTATTTGAATATTCCACTTGCAAATTATTTTACTTACATTTTTCCTGTGTTGTTTGTAAGTGAAATAACCTGAACTAATAACTAGTACTTTTTAAAATTAATATTAAGGAATTATTGATTCTAAACAAGCTGAAAAGTCACTTGTAAGTTGTTTTCTTATTTTGGTCCAAAAACCAGACAACATATTTGGTAATATTTTGTGTTTTTGAATGTTTATCTGAGCCAGGGACTGATTAAAAATAAAAAAAATAAAATAAAGATAAAAGGCTGGTTGGTTGTAATAAATGAAGAACAGCCCAAAATTAATAATGCATGCTCCCAAAAAGTGTATGTAAACTTCTGATCTCTTCTGTACATAAATGAGACACTAATACAGCGTATATACATGTAGTATTTACACGAGGCGCTGCAGTGGTTTGTTCACCTGATCTTGTTTTTTTTCTCCAGTTTCTCTTCCAGCGCCATCTGTCCCTCCTGGAGTTACTCTTTAATCCATCTGTTGCCTCTCAAACCATCTCAGGCTTTCACCCCCCCTCCATCTCGCCCTCTTACCAGATTTCACTGCAGTGCTTTGATTTTTTTTTTTTCTTTCTCACAGTCGCATGTTAAAATGTTGCTAATTTTGAAGAAAAAGCCAGTGTGGCGTGTGTGTCGCAGGTCAAACCGCCGCTGACTGGAAACGCATTTCTGTCAACATTAAATGTAAACATGGGGATTATTCTCTCCACTTCATATTCAACAAATCTTTTTCTTTTTTAAAAAATAAGTATATGATACAGACAACTTGACACATGAAAAACATTCATTGGGTTTTTCTTATTTACATTTACATGAACCCCCCACTCAGATCAGTTACACAAATACCTTCCTGCTGCATCCAAATCCAGAAAACACTTTTTCTTTTAAGTTGCAAAATTTGAACAAATCTTCAACACTTTCCATGCACGTCCCATCCCACTGATCCCACAGCAGATAAACTTTTCAACACTTTGGTAAACATTTGACATTTTTCCAGAGCAGCTCAGGGCAGAAAGCAGGACTCTGAGTCAAGTAGAAATGGGGAGAAAAGCTTATCTCCAAACTTAAAATAAAGCCTTAAATGAAGCAACATAAGCCGTTTACGTAAATCCCGACTCTTTGAGTCTTTGATTTCTGCTCCCTGGCTGCGTCTGGCCCGCGTCAGCCCAGGATGTCCAGGTAAACGGGCGGGTTCTTGACCAGCTCCAGCAGGCGGCTGTGGATGTCCTTGATGACCATCCTCTGCTGGGGCTCCCTCTGCCAGCAGCCGTGCATCAGCTGGTACACCTCCTTGGGGCAGGTCCGGGGCCGCTCCAGCTCCCGGCCCTGCGTGATGCATTCAATGGCCTGTTGGGATGGAAGTAACATCGGCTGACTCAATTAAGCAAGAAAAGGACAATTTATCTGTAACATAAATGTAATGAAAGCTTTTTTTTATTATTTGCTTTAAATGAGTAATTTATGTTTTTACAAATTTTGGGACTGACTCATAGAATTAAAAGAAAAAGTTAAAACATATTCAGAGGAAGTTTAGTGGAAGGAAGAAGTGTGTTAGGGAAAGGTGTAACTGTAGCTTTGAGTGGATTTTCAAGAAAGATTATTTGCTTTCTGAAATGAGTGAAGTATTTTTCTCTATATTCTACTTATAAAGCTGGTTCAGTAACAAAAATATATATTTTTAAATAATCATATAATCAATCACAATTTTAATTTCTATTTTTAGGTTTTAAAATACAGAAGACTATAAAATCTTTACCAAAAAACCCTGATGGATATATTTTTTTCATACGGTCTTGGTACCGTTAATGTCGTTCTGTTCAGAAACTTCAATGCAATTATTCAATGAAAAACTGAAAACTGCTAAAGCCTGAATTTGCTATATTTATATTTTAAAAGACATTCTTTATCAGGTGAGGTTGATTCTGTTTCATAGAAGACTGTGTGTTTAAAGAGAAACAGACCCACAGCATCACTGACCCTCCACCATGCTACGGAGTGGACATGTGGGCAGTTTTCAGGTTAAACTCTCCTGGACTGTTTGCTGCTGAAAAGCTGCATTTTAAAGCACAAAGTCCCAACAGACTTCACTAAATTCCACATGTTTACATTTGTGGTGGTAGAACTTTAAAAAGTCGTTTTCCTGCTTCAAAGAAACAGATTACATGAATGTGGTGTCTGAGGGTTGCTATGGAGACACTTTGTTGCAGCTGTCTGACAGTAAACCATCCTCCTGTGTAAAATGGGCCTTTGTGTCACATTATATTTGCACCTGAGGAAACCAAAAAGTCATGGGTTACTGATGAAAAGTTCCTAGATATTGATCGGTTTAAGAAAATTAATAAATTAGAAAAATGGAATCTTACTAAAAACGAACAGCAGCACCAGAGTAATTTACTGACCAAATGTGATCAAAGTAAAGGTTGGATCATTCCAGTGACATATTTTTGTTATTCTAGATGTTTTTTAAGGTCATCAAAGCTTTAAAATCTGGGGTGTTTTCTGTATTTACAGCATTTTAACCAGGCTGGCTGATCCCTAATGTTTCCTTGGAGGCCCAGCAGGAATAAATCAGCAGTGCTCTTATGTATGGATCCAGTGAATGTATTGATTTACCCGCCTTTGTGGCAAGAAATTGAGACCACAAAGCTCGGTGTCAAAAAGGTGTCTAAATAAGCCCAGTGTTCAGGAGCCGAGCCCCACAGGCAGCTGCGTATTCAGACCGGCACCTCAGCTTCGCTGGTAAAAGCACTTTATCAGAGCACAAACAATTTCCAATGTTCACATTTAAAAGAACAAATCAAACACATTCAATAATCTTCATCACTGCCAATGTCACAGCTCAACTCTGCCTGCAGCAAATGATCAAATCTAATTGTGTTTTCCAATCGGAAGAATGGAGTGAGGAAAACACCCATGATGATTTTGGTCCATCAGATTATTTTTTTGAAGAGCTGACAGCTTTTGTGCATCAATCTGCAGAATCAAGGACTGTGTGGGCAACTCTGTAAGAAAGATAACGCTTCCTCTACAGAGAAACTTGCATCAACTAACTTTAACTGGAAGAAAGTTCAGCAGCATCTTTATTTTCAACGAATGAGGAGAGGAAACCTCTGCATTCAGCTCTGCTGCCAGCTACAAAGATCTTAGATCATTCAGTCTCACAACAAATAAAAAAAATCCTCTTTTAGTTCTAAAATTTACAAAAAGATAAAAACAGCAGCAGAACAAAAACATGACACATCACACTACAATATTTAACAAAAAACTCAAATCCAGCAGCTTCAGTTTGCATGTTAAATGTCAGAGTTTATGCAGGACAGTTAGAAACAGGCAGAATCAGTAAAACTTATGTATTTAGATTTGCAAAGGTCCGACTGCACGAAGCTCAAGACTTCTGAGATCCCTGGACATGAAACATGTTTGGAGAAAAGCGAACAGCCTCAGGCCAGAGGAAAGCACGGAGGTGGAGGGCTGATGATCTGGGCTTCCACAGCACCTGGACACCTGGAAGTCCTCAGTTACATTCACACAGCAGGTCTTCTTACCCATTTACAGTTTTTTTACTGAAATCCTTTTTTTTTTTTTTTTTTTTTTAAATGGTTTTTCTTGCTACTAATTAAATGTAGCTGCAATCAGACTTCTCTGTGAGCGGTTTATGTCTGCATTTACTGCGCCTGCTGTTCTCTGGTGCAGAATTATGATGCATGTCTCAAAGTTGGCTGAGAATCTACATGATCGTTCAACCATCAGACGCTTTGAAATCTATCATGGCACGTGTTCAGTTTAGCTTTTCCTGTCTTATTGCGCGCATTTGGCAACAACTGAAGGCACATTTAGCTTTGTTGTTCAGGTGACAATGAAAAAGTTTCTATTTTGTTCCATTCTGTTCTAGTGTCACATATGGAAGAGGCACAAATCAGGTGAAAAGATTGGAATTGGGTTATTCGGACTGCTGTGAAAAAGTTGGACATGGAAAAAAAAAATCGTATTTGAGTTGAATTCTCTACAGATCAAAGAAACATGGACTCAAATACGCCACATCTGTACGACACAGCAACAAATCCACAACGTAAGATAAAGAATAGAATCAAGCTGTTGCAGCGGCCCAGTCAAAGTCCAGCCTCAGAGTGGCTGAAATGATTTGGACAGAGCTGTGCAGAAACCGAAAACTCAATGAACTGAAGCAACGTTGTTAGAAGTGAGCTGAAATTCCTCCACAACGAGAGACAAATATTCTGATTTATTCTCCCAGCTTACTTCTAGTCTCACCTATAAAAACCCACATCCTGTTTGATCTCACTCACTTCCTGCCAACTGGAAACTTAGAAAGTGGAAGAACCTCAACAACCAGAAAACTGTTCATCTCTTTAGCCCATCTGACTCCAACAAACTCAGAGCAGAGCACACAAACGGTCTCAGGATTGATCTTTCTTGCGTATCCATTATGAAGTGTTCATGTTTTCTTATATGCAATGTTTTGAACAATGCAGGTTTTGGAACAGCACACCGCCTCCTCTTGCTGCTTTCAGCACCGTCCTATTTATCTGCTTTTCATGCGTCGCTTTGTGCTGCGTAGCTTCATTCCACTCCGGCAGATAAAGCTGCATGGTGCAGAACCAACATAAACATATCTTTATGTGTAGCAGGTGGCCTGTAGTTTACGAAGTGCCAGTCCATTTCTGGATCCAGCTCAGTACAATAGAGGGAAAAAACACAACTGTCTATTTGCAGTGCAGACAATTGCATTTAAAAGCTGTGAAGTTTTGGAGCTGATGTGTTCTGTAGGACCTGTGACGATGTTTGCTGAGAGGTTTATTCAGACGGAATAAAAGAATCAGCTTTTTCAAACCCGTCAAGGTTTCTGTTTGTCTAAGTGAGGAATGGTACAAAACATCAACAGTAACCAGCAAGCATCCCATAAACAGGCGTGGAACCGAGCTTTTCCTGAGCTCACTGAAGGCATCATTTCTTCTAATCAAAATCAGCTAGCAGGTCTCAGATGAAATGGATTTGCTGACAGTCATGTGACACAAGTCAAGGTTCACATCAATCAATGTTGCGTCTTTCTTACACAGAAAACTTCCAGTTTACAGGTTGTTTACTAATTAGCATTTAGCTAAAAATGAAGCTGAAAAATCACAGATTTTTTCAACAGTTTGAGCTAAAATTGTCTGCACTGCTCTAACATGTCGTTGTGCTTTCTCTAAATCTACAAGGTTTTGATTATTAAGTAATGAAGAATATTGTTTCATTTTGGGACTACTGAACAGCAGAGCCTGCTAATGTTTGTCTCTTCAGCGTATAATGAGTGTCCAGCACCATGGACAGCAGCACCTCTGATTCAAATCTCAATATCTGGAGTGAGTTGTTTTTCCACAGAGGATTAGCAAATTACCAGTGCTGCCTTTAACATTAACTGTGTTTCCAAAAGTGTCTCTTTTCTGGTTGTGACTGATCTTCTGTATTCACACGTGTGCAGTCAGTCTCTGTGCTTTTACTTGAAGAGGAAACACTCCCGGCTTATTGCTTTGTTTGTCTCTCTGTTGCCTGGTTGGAGACATCGATAAAGTATTTGAGGCCATTAACTCGATGAAGTTAGCGTTTCTATATCTAAGTTTGTATCTATCCGGACTGAGCTGATGGCAATAATAATTATGTCATTCTTTCTGATGGAAACTACTCTCAGGCTCGAGGTTCCCGGTTCAACCCATTAATGGAGATTTTGCTTCTGTAACTCTGTGTACTTTGAAAGTTGTTTCTTTCTACTGTTGTGACATTCTTACATAAAGGGTTTCTGCAGTGGTTTAAGATAATTTGTTGGAAAATTGTGCCATAAAAATAAACTAGTGGTGGGACTTATTTAAAATGTTTAATCAAAACTTTACAATCAACAACTGTGGACAAAGTAACATTTTTCAATTCAAAAACCCTTTTTGCTGCTAAATTATTGAATAAATAGACATATGAGGTCAATAACAAAGATATTAGTTAATGTAACCATCAGATTGGTGCAAAGTGCTATTACACCGTTGCTGCTGCTGCTACATGTTTAGCATTGAGATGCTATTTTAGGCTTGAATAGCTTAGCTGATAGGCTAATTCCTGTTAGCACAACAATAGTATTTTACTGCATCCCATCAGATCATTTTTCTGAATAAATAATTAAGCCCTAGTGGATCAAAAGAAGCTGCTCTTTGTTCCATGAGGATGCTGGTTGTGCATCATATTCATGGGTGTACCAGAAACACGTAACAAAGGTTCCGGCTCTGAATTTTGTAACTAAAAAAAAAATTGCAATTAATTGTGCTAAAATTCTTAATGTGTTAAAATCTATAGAATTAGTAAATCAAAATGTATGTATTAAAGTCCCTAAAATAAACTGAATTGTGCCAAATAGCAAATTTAAATACAGTCAATCCTCTGTTTTGTATAAAGTGCTGAGAAACACAACTGTGTAACTTGACTGTGATCCTCTGCAGCAAACTCAGTAAACTTTCTGAATCCAGACATCCTGCCTCACCAGTTTTAATCTTTAAAAGCAGCATTACTCTACAGATCTGTGTCCATTAGCAGCGACGTCTGGGACAATCGGAAGCAGCCAAAATGTGAACAAGCAGCCAGTAATGTCTGCAGAGACCGGTGCAGCTCACCGCGCTGTGGAGGATCTCCACCAGACTCTTTTTACTGCCGTTAACCTTTGCCTGATTAAGTGAGCAGAAGACGCCCGTCACCAGAGCCACTTCACACCAAAATGAGCCGTCAGTCCATCGGGCTCACAGCTGAACACTGAGACTCCTAACGAGCCGCTGAAATGCCTGCTGCCGCCACGTCAGGTTGGGGTGATTTATCTCCGCCGCTCAGTATTTAGGCAACATGATAATTTCACCTGTCCCTCACCAGGCGAGACAGATTAGGATAATGAGGTTACACCTTATTGGCACAGGGCAAAAATGAAGCCAATGAGATTAGAATCGAGTGCAGAGGAAAAGTGATCCACCCTTCTCTGGAAAGAAGAGCGGCTCCTGGCCTGTAATAGCAGCGCTGCGGTCACAGTGGAGACCCACTTCTTGGTGCTTAAGCTGAAAAGGCCAGACTGGACCGCCCTTAATTACTATGAACTTATTGATTAGCTCAAGAGTGCAGAATATGTAAGGCTGCAAGGGCTGACAGGTAAAACGAAGAGAGAAAAACAATCCAGAATCAGGTATCTGAGCTAATACGAGTTGAAAAGTTCATTTAAAGGATAATTTGATTAATTCAAATCAAAACATGCACAGTAGAGTTTATGGAGTTATTACAGGTACTGAGAATGACTCTATGGGATGTTTCTTCCAGTTAAAACTGTTTTTTCTTTCCACTGTCACCATGTTCTTGTTAAGGAGGAAGGGTTGATGCAAAGTTTTGGTAATTCAGTAAACTCCTGCCTATTTGTGGATTTTTTTGTGCAACTTAACTCCAAATCATTCATAGAAAACTCATCTATTTCAATCTAATTTTTTTGTGAAATACATAATCTAAAGTGTATATATTTAGACATGTGTGTTTGGTGAGTCCATGACAAAAAACAAAACA